TGCCGCTTCTTACGCCAGACCAACGGCCACGATGTGTGGAATGAAATGGAGTCGGTTTCACTCGCGAAAAATTGGACACATAAGGCATACGGGGAAGCGCAAACCATCAGCATCATAGACCGTCTCGCAACGTCAGCGCCGGCGGGGAATGCGGATATCCATACGTTGCGTCAGGTTATGGCCACTGATCACAGACCAATTCATTGCAGACTATGGTTCCCGGGTCTCTGTGCAACAATTGAGGAGGCGAGCGACGACGGACCTCGGAGGGTTAAAGTTCCGCCGCGGAATAGCGACACTCGGCCAAAATTTCGGCAAGAGATGGAAGAGGGCGTTGCTAATTCGCAGTCTTTGAATCGAGTTGCCAAGGATGGAACAGTAGCCTCACAACAGGCTTGGAATGCGACTTACGATGAATTTTCCAATATAATAGTAAACACTTCCCTCCAAATATTCGGCGAACGAAGATCGCCAGCGGTCGGGAAACGCGAGTTTGTCGGATCGCCAGAGTTACGACAATTGAGTCAGGACCGTCACCATATGAATCGCTATATATACGCACTCAAGACTAACTCCATTCATATATTGAGAAACAAACCGGACACAAGAAGATGGTTCGAGGAGCTCCATACCGACCTAGATACGGCGACATTGCAACGTCTCCAACAAGAAACAGGCAGAGCAGTGTGGTACCCCCCCCCCCCGAGGATGAAGTGTTAGAAACCGCGACTGTCTGGCGCCGCCAACTCTGCAAAAGAATACACGCACAAGAGAAGCGGGAGCGTAAAGAACTGGCACAGAGGTCTGATAATTTTCGGATACAGAATGTCATCAACGGAGGTTCAGTGAAGAAAATCCTGATACCACGTACGTCACTGATACAACCACGTGCGGTAGAAACTGTGGATGGAAATCTTACCGCTGACCCCACAGAGGTACGGAACACGTGTAAGCAGTATTTTAGCGCTTTATTCCAAAAAGAGGATGACAATGCTCTGACAGACAAACCTTGGATGAATACGGAAAGTTCCCGGAAGTTTCGGGAGGCTACGCAACGCGACCCATTTGTCTGGCCTAGGCCCCTGATGCTCAGCGACCTCCGGGCGCTCCTCGGCAAAGGCAATAGGGAACCATCCCCCGGTCCGGACCGATGGGAGAAATGGACAGTAACGATACTTGGAGACCAAGCGATGTCTGTTGTTCTGGCACTCCTGAACTATGTACTGGTGCACAACTACTTCGACAAGCTGCGCGACCACTATCTGCTTCCGATGTTCAAAAATCGCGGACTGTCTTCCCAACTGAGTAATTACCGAGCGGTCTGTTTTGGCAATTTCTTGGCGGTCACAGCGGCTGGATGGTTTACACGTCAGGCGCAAGCTTACGCAATGAAACACCACATGATTCCAGAAACACAGGTGGCCGTCCAGAGCGGTGTACAACAGCGCGACCTCACAAGTTTCCTAGCGAACCTAGAAGCCTGGGCGTTCCGGGCCAAAACTCCGATCTACGGGCTAGTACGAGACCAAAAGAAGGGCTTCGACCTGCTCAGACCAGAAGCTGGGTATGACGCCTATGACGCCTACCATTTTTTCGGCTTTGGCCCAAACGCAGAAGCTTTTGACCGAGCCCGATTGGCACACGGCGCTTTTATCGTCAAGACACCGTACGGCCTCGCGGAACCTTTCGAAGTGGACGGGCAGATGAAACAAGGGGATCCCCCGAATCCTCTTCGTTTCTCCTTGGCCATGGCTATTGGCTCTTACTGGCTGGACGAACAAGCGTTCGAGGACCCACTACTCATCACAACACAGAACAGGGCACGCTCAAACAACCATACACAAGCGGATGAACTGACCCTCAAGATTACTCAGGTATCTGCGATGGACGACACCATACTACTGGCCAAGAGTGAAAGGACGCTGGCAGCGATGACTCTCTACATGGAGCATTTCCAGGAAGCCTACGGAGCCCAAACCGACTGGGGTACAAAGACTCGAGCCATCATAATGGGCCTCGGCAACCAGTCTGATACACCAGGGACAGTCCAAGTTGCCACTCCTCATGGGAGACGACAGGTCACTGTCGACCCAGCACATGTTTTTCTCAAAACACCGTTCGCTGCGCCGGACCGACAATACACTCAGCTGGAAAGTATTGTGCGATCGATCGGGTTCCCGAGCACGCCAACGAGGCGACTCCCGCTCTCGGCATTACGACGATTCATCGAACAACAACTAATTAGCAGGCTGAGGCCACGACTGGCTTTATGTCCTATCCGACCGGACGATGCCCTTAAGCTAGACCAGCTTATAGCAATGCGGATCAAAGAGTACTATGGATGGGTTTTCACACCGAGCGCTAAGTTGGTCACCCTCCCCGTCGCTAAATTTGGATTCGAGCTTACTAGTCTGTGGCGACTGAACGGGGCTATGGCAGTCGATGGACTACTACGAGACCTGAACCATCATATTCCAGCTTTCGCACAGATGGCAAGAATAACGCTGGCCGACCTACAATGCCAACACCATGGCTGTATATCGCCGCTCCTGAACCCTAAGCCCCTGTCTTTCAAGCACTCGCAGCAGATGGTTCCTCAGATCTGGAATACGGCACTAGGTGCGCTACAACACTGCGGGAACCTCCGAGTACTCGAAACCGACCAGTCGAATCGCACCGACTCAGGTATTAGTGCGGAACATGCATACCTCCAAAGCGGAGGGGCCAAACGAAACGAACCGCAACTACAAAAAGCCATGGCGGCGCTTCCAGCAGGCCTGACGGACCTCCAAGTGCTACGGAGAGGCCCACAGCGCGATAGACCCGACCTCTTTGCTGGATGGCTGCACCCGAACACGAGATTGGTGCGACAATGGTCTAATCGCTTTGATGAAACTTTACTGGCGGACGGGCCGGTTAGGTTGTTGAAGACGCGAGCACAGCGACAAAACGACGCCGAGCAGCAGATCAAAATCACACTCCTTTCCCTGATAAATTTTCGAGGCCAACAAGACCAGAATATTTGGGCTACGGATGGCTCACTCATCGTGTTACCCACAGGACTCACATCTGCGGCGGCAGCGGTTGTAGGGCCATACTCGGCGGCTCGTGCGGCACTACCGGCGGGCGCGACTATCATGCAGGCAGAGGTGACAGCCCTGATCATAGCGGCACTGACCTCACACTTAGAGACCTCACATTTTGGGTCAGCAATTCAGGTTGTCGCAGATCACCTTACCTCCGTCAAATTCGCTGAGAATCTGAAGAAAGATCAAGTTGCACCAAAGAAACCGAGGGCCGCATTTGCACACTACACTTGGCTCGAACACCTGCTGAGAACGAGTGATTCGATACAAATACGGCACGTTAAAGCCCATACGGGTGGCGGAGACGAAGCATCGCGTGCAAACACTCGAGCAGATGAGGCGGCGAAATCGGCACACACTCAACCTGACTTCTTCGTGCTTTTCCCGGACTTTGCACTCCCACAATGGACAATCCAGGCATCCCTTGGCGAGCAAACTGCTTGGATAGAGGGTGATGTGATCAAGAAAATCTACGACCTACAAGAAGCATGGCAAATCAAATCGCTGCCCCAGAAGATCGGTAACGACGTTCAATTGCTACTCCAAGTCGCTCATTCCGCAGGACGGTATCCTTACCTTCGCGCAATTTCGACGTACGCAGCGCAAACACAACTCCAGCTGCGGGCACACATCCTTCCCACCGCCTCGCGATGCTCAGAACGATTCGGTACGTCGTCTTTGTGTACTATTTGTGGATTGGCAGAGGAGACAGAGAAACATGTTTTCAGGGAGTGCGAGGCAGGTCGTGGACTGCGGGAAAGAATTGGACAGGACTTGTTTCAGATGACGCGTAGGGAACTGGAGATGAGACACCACGAATGGACGGGAGCACAAGTATACGAGCTTTCCAATTTCGCTGCAGGGCTAGTAACGGGACATCTATGGTGGTATGCGATGCCTATGATCCCAAAACCTGACATCTACTGGGCCCTCGATGAGCGATCTCGGACGCGGCTGGATCGGACATGGCATCACGAGCTTATAAAGGGAGCCGGACGGTTATGGGCGGCGAGAATGAGGAAGTGGTGGGCACTGCAAAGGAACACGGAGCAAAGGAATTCGCATTAGTGACAGAGGCGGTGGTGGCGGCATTCCCCACCTGCCTTTGAGGGCGGGCGCTGAGCTGGACGAGGGAAAGACTGATGTAAGCCCTGGAATGGGGGGCATCGGTCCTGGTGATAGCAAGGTGACGGCCTACGTGACATGAATATGGTGGTCCAGCGGATCTAGCAATTTGTTAGATTCTGTCTTTAAACAAGACTAGCTGGAATATATGGATTAAAACATTTAAAACCGTGACTACGGTGTAAGTGCCATCTTGAATGAACCCTTCATTGGAGACAACATGTGACGCGCCATGCGAAACGAGTCAGGAAAATGTCTGACCCCACCTGATGCCACAGGTTGCAACCCCACAAAGTGCTATTTGTTTCTTGAGATACACGCGCTTGCCCAAGCTATCTAAGCACTGGTGCCCAACAGAAGCGGACGCGCACGCGGCCAAGCGTTTACACCGCGCGGTCATGTCGTCCAGGCATCGGCATAACACGAGGGAAGCTAGAACGTAGCTCCTTTCCAGAAGAGTGAAGTAGGGCTGAGTAATTGTAAGTCAAACACTCTGACCTACCTGGCTGCAGGTGGAGATTGCACCACGAGGGTAGGCACGCCGGCGTTTGAGGCGGGCCGCGCGTATTGAGCGCGTGGACAAGCCCGCCGTGCACGTGGTCACTGAAAAGTTCGGAAGACAGGTCACACGGTCAGAATATTCATAGCAGATAGGCTTGATACAAACAAAAAAAAAGCAATCTTGCATTTGCAGCGATGGGTAAAGCATTTGTTTGATGTAGTAAAACAACAACGACTACGAAGGCAAAGGCAAAGCACCTAGGCACAACTCTTAGAAAATTGGTCGAGCTACACGACTTCGGTACGACGAGGCAACGACGCTGCTCCGACCATGGGGATATCATCTTCCGATTCGTCCTCGTCCTCGTCCTCGTCCACTTCGTTGGGTAAAAGTCCATACTCGCTTGGACGCCGCGTCATCGCTGAATCGGTGGCCCGAGCTCGAGAGGAGCCGCGACCCCGGAGTATCGCAAGAAGGGAGATGACGATCGAGCCGATCGAGTCCCACGCAGCTCCAAGGACTTCGGAGATGAAGCCTTCGGCACGATCTCCGGCCGGATCGTCGGGTCGACGAGCGCTTCGGGGGCGACGCCACCATCGCAAGGTCAGCGACGAAGCGACGACCGAGACGGACGAGAAGGCCATTGCAGCCCCAGCCATCATAGGGTGCAGGTGGAGACCCCAGGGCAGGAAGACACCCATCGCAAGCGGGATGCCTGTATACGATGAATAGACCACTACGTCGTAAGTAGGCATTTCGTATGACGGGATTAGAGAAGCGGAAAAGCTTGTCGGACTCACCAAAGACGTTGTAGACCGTGGCCCATATGAAATTGAGTCGGATCTGGCGAAAGATGCGCCTCGATAGATCGATCGCAGCCACAACGTCGAGCAAGTCGGCCTTCATCAGAACAATGTCCGCGGCTTCCATAGCGATGTCCGTGCCCGTGCAGAGGGCGATCCCAACATCGGCTACGGCCAGTCCAGGGGAGTCGTTTATGCCATCGCCGACCATCGCGACTTGGTGGCCTTGCTTTTGCAGCTTTTCGACGATGGACCGCTTGCCGTTCGGACTGACGCCGGCGTAGACGTCCTCGGGCGCGACCCCGACATCGGCAGCGATGGCGACCGCTGTAGCGCGTTGGTCGCCCGTGACGACCGCGACGTGAATCCCCATCATGCGCAATGCGTCGATGGCCTGACGCGCTTCGCCCTTGATCGTGTCGGCGAGCGAGATGGAACAAGCGAGCGCCCCATCGACGGCGACGAACACGCAGGTCCGTCCGAGCCCTTCTTCACGGTCCCGGAAAGCAGCGTGCGACGCGTCAGGGGCGATGTGCGATTCCGCGAGAAACGCGGCGTTTCCGATCTCGATCGAGTGCTGGGTATGGCCGACCTGCGAATCCGACAGCGAGGGGAAGTTGCCCGACACGTTGCACTTGACGCCGAGACCCGTCACACTCTCAAATTCGGACACTTGAATGGAAGGGGGGAGGATGTGGTGACCGAGCTCTCGCAAACCCCAGGACGCGACAGCTTTGGCGAGCGGGTGTTCTGACTTGGCCTCGGCCGCCGCGAGCAGGAGCATGATGTCTTCTTGACGAGAAAATTTGACCATGGACGGGGATGCCTCTTTGAGATCCGCTAGGACCGAGCGAGGATGGGACCACTTGACCCCAACGACGGCGAGCTTGCCCACGGTCAGCGTCCCCGTCTTGTCGAGGATGATGCGATCGACGCGATGGCTCGCTTCGAGGGGTCCGGCGCCTTTGATGAGGATCCCGTGCTGAGCGCCGACTCCGGTGCCAACCATCACCGCCGTTGGGGTCGAGAGTCCGAGAGCGCAGGGGCATGCGACAACGATGACCGAGATGCACAGCTTGAGGCATACCATGAACTTGGTCGCCCCCTTTTCGGCAAAAACATGGGGCAGGTGCGTCGAAGTGTGGGCGATGCACATCCACGCAATGAACGTCAGCATGCCGAGGGCGATGACGATCGGCACAAAGTAGCCCGCAACCTTGTCCGCAAAGGCTTGGATCGGCGCCTTCGAGGTCTGCGCGTCTTCGACGAGGTGCACGATCTGCGCCAGGGCTGTGTCCTTGCCGGCGCGTGTGACCAGCATATCGAACGTGCCCGAACCGTTGACCGTGCCCCCAATGAGCGCCTCACCGACAACCTTGTGGACGGGGATCACTTCGCCCGTGACCATGCTCTCGTCGACGGTCGATTCGCCTCGCAGCACCGTCCCGTCGGCCGGGATCTTGTCCCCTGGTACGATCTTGACCGTGTCGCCGACTTGGACTAGCTCGGTCGGGACCCTCTTCTCTTTGAGGCACGTCGGCGCGTCGGTGTAGATGATCGCCTGGCTCGGGGAGAGCGACATGAGTCGACTCAGTGCTGAGCTCGTTTGGCCCTTGGCGAGGTTCTCGAGGTACCGCCCGAGACTAATGAAGGTAATGAGCATCGTCGAGGTCTCAAAGAAAACCTTGGGGTGGTAGTCTGCGTCGCTGGAAAATGGCGCCAGCAGCAGCGTCGCGGTCGAATAGATGAAGGCGGCGGTCGTGCCAAAGACGACGAGGACGTCCATCGTCGCCGAGCCATGGCGCAGCGCCCGCCATGCCGACTCGTAGATGCGACCTCCGACTCCGAACTGCACAGGGATCGTGAGAAGGAAGCACACGAAGTCGCCGAGGTGGATTCCCCGCACCAGTCGCAGGTTGACGATGGGGCGCAGCGCCGACACCATGGGGAAGATCATCGAGATGAAGAAGACGGGTACGGCGAAGCAGAGCGAGCGCTGTAGAGAGTGCTTCCATTGGGAGATCTCCTTTGTGCGCGCAAGGGACCGCAGTTGCACAGCGTTGTTCTCGTCCGACACGAGCGTCGCGTCGAAACCGACGTCCGAAACAAGGTCGACGAGATCGCGAGCACCGGATATGAGGGTCGGGTCGTAGGTGATGGTGGCGCGCTCGGTTGCTAGGGAGACGGTGACGGAGAGAATCCCCGGTGTCGAAGAGACGGAGGACTCGATGGAGGAAACGCATGCGCCACAGCTGCAGGTACAAGTGGGGCGGGTAAGATTGGAGGACCGAGCGAAGCGTCAGTTGATGCACAAAGACGTGGGGCGACGAAGACGAAGAGGGTGAGACAACGCACGTCATGCCATAGATCTGCAATGACACCGTGTCATGGGGGACGGGAAGTATGGGCTGCGCTTCGAATCCCATGTCCTCGACTTCCTGTGGTTGCCAATCGAAGCCGCAGGTCAGCTGACCCAGCCCCGTCAATCTAGCAACGGCGTGTGAGGTCTGCCACACCACGGCAGTTTGCCCCAAGTCGAACGCACTTCTGTGAGCTTTTCTGGTGACCACACGGACGAATCGCACTCGATGATGGCTCGTTCCGCTCTGCATTGGATAAGGGGGGGCGGTGCGATGGGTCAGCCAGCGAGCGCGAACTACGCGGAATAGACGCCGCCACACCGCGCCCGAGTCGAATCGGTGTGTCGGTCGAGCTGGCGTGCTCACAGTAGTGCGACCTTGACCGACAGAATCCCTGGTTGATCACGGAGTCCATTCTCGATGCTGGCCACGCAGGCACCGCACGTCATACCTGCCCGAGACGAGTGTGTGCACGGACGAGGGCTCGGTCAGCATATTGCCCCAGCGGGAAGCATACATGCGCTCGCGGAAACGGCGCGCGTCGCACTGCAGCGCCATTGCGTGCACGCAAGCCAAAGCATACCTTGGATCTTGAGCTGTATGGTCGTCGACGTTGCAGCAGCCGGCAGCTTGCTCGAACTGGCGACACTCGACACCTCGATCTTGTCCTCGTGGTCATAGTCCTCGACCAGCTTTGAGTCTTCTTGAGCACGCGTAGCCATGGGTCCCGTGGAATTGAACCGGCTTGCTTGCCGACTTGGTCCGACAGAGGCCGCAGGATAGAGCCCGGGTGTTGCAACGCGTTTTAAGGTTGTGGCGGTGATGCAACGATCTCCAGGAGGATGCTGAGAGGGCTGATTCGCTTTCGGATTGACCAAAGTGACGATGTCCTAGTGCAAAAGTTGTTTGGTTGACGTGATGGATGGGGTGGAAAGAGCCTTTTAGCCGCTTCGGGCCAGGCCGTCGATCGACGCGCCTAAACGAGCCGCAGAAGATCGCCTCGTCGCGGATTTATCAGATCGCCTCGATCGTCGTCTGTGGCTACCCCTGACGTCGCGAAATGCGCACTGAAACAGTCAGCCAAACCACGTCGACGGTTCAGGGGAGTCGAAGTCGGTGACCAAGAAAGAACGCAATGCATTCCAAGGGGTATCCTAAGGGCCTGACGACCGTACAGGAGCACAAACACACATACAAAACGAAAGTAGTTCGGGGTCAGGCTCTTCAGCCAGCTACTGAGCCAGTGCTAACCGCTCGGGTACCCTGAGCGCGCTGTCAAGAAGACCATCTACTACTTCGGACCTAGTCTATGGCGCGTGGCAATTACGTGGTGGTAGAAGTATTGCTGGAAGCTCCATTCGATTCAGGTGCTGCAGTACGTTCTTTGGCCGGACGACGACCACGTCCGTTGTAAGCGAGCTCCGCCTCCGTCCTTCCCTTGCCGACGACTTGCAGACCTGTGCTCGCGCTGTAGCGCAAAGGGCCAGAGGGCGGCACTTCGTCGGGTCCGAGTCCCAGTAGCTCCCTGACATCTTGATTGACCACGGGAGCCCCATGGTTAAGGTCCCAGTGCCACTTGAGTTTGCCACCGTACGCCTCGGGGATTGACTTGGGATCAATCGTTTCCGACAGGCCTGTGAACACCTCGGACGCGGACAAAACTCGAAATTTACTCGTCGTCCCTTCGTCGAACCATTTTTTTGCGACACCGTAGACGACGCTCCAGATTGAGGGGGCACCGATGATGTAGAGAATTCCGAGCGTCTCGGGGAGATGCGCCGTCGCCAGAGTCGACGAGCGATGCAGGTAGCCTCGTAGTGCCCTGAGTGGTCGAGAACCGACGTGTGAGTAAGCGTATCGTGAGACGAAGCAAAATCTTCGAGTCATTCACCAGAACTTCGTCAAGGACATGTTGGAGAGATCGATGACTGTGCGAAACGAATGAATTCACTTCCGATCACTGGCACGCAGCGCCATCACGGTCGACCTGGGGCTTACTATTGGTGAACGAGTCAATCGGAACCTCGGGGTTCGCGCGTGGCAGCTCATTGAGTAGCGGAAGGTAGAAACATGTACCCGTCTGCCGCGATGCACACATCACCCCGCTCAGCGTCAGCTCTTCGTCGGCAATCGACACGAGCCGTATCACTGAAACCCCTGTGAAATTCACACCTACCCGCGTCATAATGCTCGTACGAAGATCACTTCGAGCGTGATCCTTGTTGAAGCCTTTAATGTCTTCGTCGCTCAGACTGTCCATGCGAAATACCGTGATGGGATTCCCGGCACGATCTCGTGCCCCTGAGACAGTTGAACACAGGGGGAGGGGGGGCCTCAGCAAGTTAAGCTAGCGCGCGAACGGCCACGTTACCCCCGGGCAGATGCGAGGCGAAGCGAGCACTTGATGAAGCGAGCAGATGGTCCTTCGAGCTTACCAGTGTACCTGGGACCGAGTCTGCGCGCTGCTCGGAACTCTTCGACCTCTATTTCATCGTAGGTGGTGTCGATGTTCTCCGTCGTCATCCAGTCGGCCGTCGCTTTGAGCTGTTTCAGTGCGCCGTCGACGTTCCAGCGGCGCGCTCGAAGGTATCGACTAGGTGAGGTGAAGGTCAGGAGATTTAACGAGCGTCAGTTGTCTTGTTCCCTTCTTTGTAGAACCCACGAGCGGCCGGTGTGTATGTCGTTCAGGCCGAGCTATACGTGCCGACAGGATCGGGTGGGGGACTAGAGCCGAGGGCAGGCACTTACATGACAGTTGAATCATCGTACTCAATCTGATGAGCCAGTGGACCCGGCACGAGGACATTTTCCTCGATGACTCGTTGCTTGAGTATGGTGAATGCCGCTTCCTGGCTCGGCGTTAAGTGGCCTAGCCTGCCAGCGAGCGGGTCACGTGCAGCTTCCTGCGAAGTGGGGAATGCGACGACCAGCGCGTGCAGGATGATGCAGGACGTTAGATAACATGTGGCACATCGCAACGAGGTAGGGCGCAGATGATGGGGCGAAGTACCGTGACTTACAGGACTGGGATCCGTTGCGTTCTCGTGGTTTCGCATTGGTGCGGAGGCTGAAGCGCAGGAGGCCAAAGAGCGAGCTCGCGTGAGGTCTCGTGGGGTCAGCTGAGATCGACTGGAGCATCGCTGAAGTGAGGGCTCGAGGGCCTAAGCCTCTCGTCACTCGATCGGGGGCACTTACAGCCCCCTTTAGTGGAGTATGAGACGAATCGGGTACAAGTCGACTCTCAGGACTCATACTTTTTTGCTCGAGCCTTCTTGGTGGCGGTGATTCCAAACAATACTGGTGTTGCACTGGGACAGAGCCTCGTTAGTCGAGCCGGAACAGCTGCTGATCCGGGTCTGACGGGTCTCGACTCACGTTGATACCTCCCTGGAAAAGGTCCAATTTTGGCTCAGAAACCCCTCATCTCCATCTGAGATTCCGTGCCAGGTCAGCTGTTGCTGCCCCTTGACACGGCAGTGCTCATGTAGTGCCAGCGGCCTTTCGAACGATCTACTCGTGCGACCATGTTCAATGCCTCTTTTGTCCTCCTATCTTCGGTGAGACTGCGCGGGTCTCTCTTTCCCGTACAGCTCGCACTCACATTTTAGCATCGCTCACTCTTACCTTCTCAACTTATCATCAACTTACCTCGACTACTTGTTCAGCATCTCGCTCCTAAATAGGGGTTCAGCCGTGCTGAACCCTGCGCACCCCGTCGAGGACGTTCGCTCTGCCTTGAACGTCCTCCGCGGAGCACGTGACGACGAAGAGGAACATTTCGCGGATGTGAGGATCGCATGGGACGTCATCCTTCCCCCTGAAGAGCATCGGCTGGCACACCTACGGACCCAAAGGAGGCGACTCGGGCTGCGTCAGTGACTGACTCCAGCTTGGACACGGAGTGTGGAATCAAATTACCGTCCATCCAAAATCGCAATTACGGTTAGCAAATACTTGCTCGTGCGTGCCTCTGCGGTTCTGTAGGGCCTACAGTGTCTATCCGAGACACAAGAGCATCTGCCATCGCATGGGGCTTCTTCCGCGTGGTCTCCCACCCCTGTCGGAGTTGCCTTTCTCCTTGCTTGCCTGCTCTGCTATAATGAGGACCCGGGGTAGTCGATGTCTCAGTTGACTGAAGATGGTACTACACATCTTTCAAAAAACTGCTCCTCTCGGACCGAAGCAGCTTCCACTACAGTCACCATTTTTCAGGAACTGAGGCCGAGGCACGAAGTGCGTAAGTACGAGAGCCGATGAAGATAGTAAAGATAGTTGGAGAAAGAAGATAAGCGCTAAGGGAGCGCGCGCGAGGCAGGCTCGAGACGCGCGGGGCGACTAATATCAACAACTAGTAACTAATCATAATCGGGAATACCAGTGGGATGAAACAGCAATATATTGACACCCCCCCGTGCTGTCATACCACTGCACCTCGCAAACCCAAATTCTCCCGATGGAAGATGAACGGCTTGGGACCCAAGGCTTTGGTGAAAATATCGGCAATCATGTCGCCGGTGGCGATGTAGCGGACCTCGAACTCCTTCTCAGCTACCCTCTCGCGGACGTAATGTTCCGAGATGCGAACATGACGAGACCCCTGATGGTTGGTCGGGTGCTGCGCAAGAGCCAGCGAACCTTGGTTGTCCCCGTAGAGTACGACTGGACCGGAGACCGGAGCGCCAAGTTCAGCCAGGAGTTCGCTCAGGTGGATGGCATCACCGCTTGTGTACGAAAGAGAGAGGTACTCTACGTCGGTAGTGGACTTGGCCACCCTGTGCTCGCGTTTGGAGCACCAAGCAATAGCGGCTCCGGACAAGATGAACGCGTAGCCCATGGTCGATCGTGAGGTCGTTAGACAGGCTCCCCAGTTCGCATCCGAGTAGCCATGGAGTGGTTGGCTGGTCTTGCGATAGGTGAGGCCCAAGTCCAGCGTGCCTTTGATGTAACGGAGGACCTGCTTGATGGCTGTCCAATGCTCCGGGCCAGGCTGCTGGGAGAAGCGAGCGAGGTAGCTGACCACGAAGGCGAGGTCCGGACGAGTTCCAACTGCGGCGTACATCAACGAACCGATGGCCTGCAAGTAGCGCGTACGATCCTGAGGAGTGGCCGCCAAGTCCTCGAAGTCAAGGACGACACCTGGCTGCATTGGAATACTTGCCGGCTTGGCATCGGTGAATTGGAACCTGGCAAGGATGTCCCGAAGGTAGCGCTCTTGTGAGAGCGTGATAGAGCCGTCTTGTCCACGTTTGACTTGGATGCCTAGAATATATTCGGCAGGTCCGAGACGTTTGATGCCGTATGCGAGTTCCAGCGCGTCCAGCACCCGCTCGATTTCGGCGGTAGAGGGACCAACCAAAACCAAGTCGTCGACGTACAAGGCAATATAGTGTGAGTGCCCGTCGTGTTCGCGGCGGTAGATACAGATGTCAGACCTGGTGGGGACGTATCCGAGGGACCGCAGAGTCGAGTCGATCTCAGCGTTCCAGATGGTGCCGGCCTGGCGAAGGCCGTAGATGGATTTGGACAGCTTGAGGATCTTGCCTGGCAGGTTTATGCCCTGAGGGACGCGCATGTAGAGAGGCTTGTCAAGTTTGCCGTGTAAATACGCCTTGTTGACGTCGGCCTGATGGACGTGATAGCCGTTGGCCGCGGCGAGTGCGATGAGGGCTCGAATGGACGTGAATTTGACGACAGGGGCGTAGGTCTTCTCGAAGTCAAGGCCAGGGCGTTGGGCACATCCGTGAGCAACAAGTCGGGCCTTGTGATCGGTGATGTCGCCATGCTGGTTGCGTTTAGTCCGGAACACCCAGCCCGACCGCAGGAGGATCTCACCCGCTGGGAGCTCACAGGATTCGACGATTTGAAAGACCTCGTAATCGTTCAGAAGCGAATCGAATTCATCCTGTGCCGGAGCGCCCCAAACGTCCTCTTGTCCCGATCGGATGACGTCGCCTCAATTTGCCGGATCGCGAACAACCGACAAGTCATGATCTGCGAAGCCGGCCTTGGTGGATGCGAAGGCAAGGAGCAGGCTCTTGAAAGAGGCGGTGGGTCCGTCGGTGCCGTCGACTGGCTGTTCCCGCGTGATCATGGTGGGGACGGGTTGGCGGCGAGTCCGGGGGCCATCAATGATGTTTCGAGCGTCGACTTCACCGTACTTCCCTGGATCGGGACCAACCTTGGCGACGTCGCCGTACTCCCAACTCGGCTTGACTTTGGCGAGTGGAGCTGGATCCGGAGGTGGTTGCGGCAGGTTCACGGCTGACTCCGTCGTTGCGCTCGTGGTCGATGAGGCGTCGTCGTTGTCGGCCGAGCTGGTCGATGCGGGCGACGCGGGTGCCTCGACAGGCGTTGGGGCCGGTGGCCGTGGGGGAGGCTCGGCGGGTGTTGGAGCTTCGACGGGTGGGGGCTGGGGGGCGTAACCCGGGATGGACGGCTGCGTCACTCGGGTGGGCGCGATAGCGAAGGGGAACTCGGTTTCTACGAACGTCACATTGCGGCCCAGACTCACACGCATGGAGGAAGGATCGAGAAGACGGTAGGCTTTCGCGTGTCGATCGTACCCGACGAAGACCAGAGGAATCCCTTTTGGGTCGAGCTTGTCCCGTCGGTGAGCCGGCACGGTGGTCCAAGCGCGACAACCGAATGCCCGAAGACCCCCTACGCTTGGTGTGTGGCCCGACCAACGACTGTTTGGGATGGCTCCACCAAGGGCCGCGTGAGGCGAGAGGTTCTTGGCGTGAATGTAACACATGGCAGCCTCGTCCCAGCACGATCGTGGGAGTCCCGAGTGAGACAGTAGAGCCAGGGTGCCCTCGACGATCGACCGGTTGGCTCGCTCAGCCCGACCGTTTTGCTCGGGTGTGTACGGTATGGTCAATTCGCGATGAATTCCGCGGGCCACGCAATAGCCGTTGAAAGCGGTAGAGACATACTCGCCCCCGTTGTCCGAGCGAAGTGTTTTGACCCTGCGACCCGTGGCGTTTTCGATCTCCAGAAGCCAATCCTTGAATGTCTGAAGGACCTCGCTCTTGTGCCCGATAGGGTAAACCCAAGTCTTCCTCGAGAAGTCGTCGATGAACGTGACGAGGTATCGCTTATGGCCTAAGGATTCCTCGGGGAAAGATAAGACGTCCGAGTGCACCAATGCGAGTGGTTCCGCGGCATGCGACGACGAAGAGGGGAAAGGCAAACGATGCGCTTTGGAGGCAAGGCACGCGTTGCAGGTGAAGCCATCACACTCGAAGTCACTATAGGGCCAATCTAAACCCTCCACCTGGCCAGAGGCCGCCAGTTTTTTAAGTGTCTGGACAGAGGCGTGGCCGTAGCGCCGGTGAAGGGTAAGTAAAGGTAGCCTATTGGACTTGGTGGCAACGAGGGTGTGTCGCGCATCTTTGCTGGCAGCTTGGACCGAAGCGTTGAGTTTGTAAACGCAGGACGCGATGGCTGATGCTGTGGCGATGCACCCTTGCGGCGTGCGGAGCTCGACTTGTCCGTGTTCGAAGGTGATGCGAACGCCTTTGCGGTCGAAGGCCCGGACTGAGATGAGGTTGGCAGGGCTCTCGGGGGCGTAGATCACGTCGTTGAGGGTGAACCTGGTACCATTATCGGAGACGAGCTTGACCGAGCCGATTCCCGAGGCCTTCACCGTTCCCCCTAGACCTTGCAGGACTTGCGGGGTAGGCGAAAGGGGGCCGTCAAAGAAGGACGCATCGTTGACGACGTGGCACGCCGACGCCGAGTCTAGCAGAAGGATTTCCGCCGGTGGCCCGATGTTGACAAACGTAGCAGAAGAAACGACGGACAGGTGTTGATCCTTGGATGCTGCCTCGGTGGCCACGAACGTGGACGCAGGCGATGATGAGCCTTGGAGTTCCTTCATGGCGTTCTTGAGCTCGAGGTACTTGGCTCGCTTGCGCGATTCCGGACACTTGTCGAGCCAGTGGACCACAAGCTGGGCAGTTGCTCGGGGCAGGACCAGAACGATCCCATTTTCCCTTCTTGCCTGGTGCAGAGCGTTTGGTCGGTACGACCGCCTTCGCAACGGGGACCGTCG